GTTTTCAATAACAAGAAGAATCCATACGAGCTGACAACAACCAAGCGAACCCAGTGAGTTCCGTTTGCTATGTATCTACGAAAATGAATTGATTTTATTGACTCTGTCTCTAGGTATGACATTGGCTCCATTGATGCTAGATTGAATTACTGGGGCTATCCCGGTGTGGAAAGTGTGGCAGCTGGAAAGATCAGAGATTTCTCCGATTATCCTTACTTAATCAAGGTAAGTTCATAATCAAAGGTTTATTTGTGCACTTCTTTCTTACTTGCATTTAAATCTTTAAAATACTACAACTAAGAAAGCACTTTTCTAGGTCGATTATCAACCAATCCTCGAGTCCAACTCGTCTCTCCTAGAAGGAGACTGCCCAGCAGGCTGGTTCCAAGCCGGTCTTGAAGAGTTCAAGTCTTGTTTCCTTTTTGTGGGAGCAGCTGCCACATACGCTGACGCCACCCTTTACTGTGAAGCTATGGGTGCTTTTGTCCCATATCTGCGAACTGATGATGTTCGTCAGAAGCAGTTAGCACAGAGGATCGACCAGTTCAGCCAGCAGTACTTGACGGATCCGGAAAGATTTGACTCTTTTGCGGTAAGGAATATCTTCGTATGTGCAAGTAATTTTGAAAATCTCAACTGATTTTTTAAAATGTCATGGTCTATAGGTTTTGTTTCTCTTTCTATTCATTTCTCTTTTAAACGTAAGTATATGTTTACATTTCAATATACCTAATATAAGAATTTGATTTTTTGAATGCTGCTTTTTCTGGTGTATGATTTCAAAATACGGTAAACCAACACAAACACTGACATGTTTCATTGGAAAACGTAAAGAAAAGAAAACGTACTTTACATTGCGTTTGGCCCCAAATTGAAATGTTGTGCACATTTTTGCCACATATCTTCTCGTCACTTTGAACTTTTCCTTTTCAGTAAATTTAGTTGCTGCTATAAGAGTTGTACGTCATCATTTTCAGCTCCGATCTGATACTGTTATATGGATATCATCCGTTACAATTCCATCTACTCAGTGTGGTTGGCTCAGCACGAGAACGGGTAAAATTGGCTCACAGAATTGCAATAACCTCATGCCGTTCGTTTGTGAGAAAGGTTAGAAGGCACAAATTTTGCTTCTCTTTGAAGCTTTGGTATTAACTGCAAATACCGTTCCAGGAACTCAGCCATATATAGAGCCGGTCTTATGGCGTGCTGGCATCATCATTGCAGTGATAATAATAGGGTTATTGCTGGCGATATTGTTCCTTTTGGCTCTATGTTGGTGTATCAAGTCAAGGAGAAGAAATGAAGATATCATTGAGAGAAAGAACATTATAAGAGCTAGCATTAAATTGCAAAGGTTTGCCGATTTCAGTTGATCACTCATCGGATTGGGTATTGCTAATATATTCAGGAAAGCATCCGCT